AACAGCAGCAACCAAAAAACAAAGCTAGTAAGTTATTTACTTCATACAATACAATTATTAATTAATATACGAGTATACAATCGTAAATCTAATTGTAAATACTTTTATTAATTTTTTAGAAAGAAAAAGAAGAGGAGCCGGCCGCTCTAGGGCCCGCTGGTACCGCCAGCGAGGAGGCTTTGCCAGCGGTAGAGGAGAACGTGGCGGTACCGGAGGACGATGCGCCCGTAGCAGCAGAGGAGGCCGTGGCGGCAGAGGAGGCCCTGGCGGTAGAGGGGGCCGTGGCGGCCTCACAATAATAAAAAATATTTTTATTAAGTAATATTCAATAAATAAAATAAAAAATGAAAAAATTGGTTTTTTTTTATTATATAATGCCTGAAAGTACAGCGTAGTAATATAGTATAGCATAGTTAAATAGTATACTACAAAAAAAGTATTAGTGTTAGTATATAATAGTATATAATATAATATATATTACTATTTAAAATACAATGTGGTATAATAGGGCTACAGGCGAAGGTCCACGTTGAAAAACCTAACGCGCTATAAGTGGCACCTCATGGGTGGCGCGGAAGACCACTCAATAATTAATAATAAAACTATTTGAGATTTAAATTAGGCTTGTAATCGATCAAAGATTGTCAATGATATCGTGTAGAACCGGCGCGTTTAGGTCCGTAACTACACGCGTACCGATCTGTCAACTGTTATTGATTTTTACAAGTCAGGTAATATTGATTTTTACTGCACAGCTGATTTTCCACGGACGCAAAATGCATGTGGATTTTCGTCACTCGAAATATGGGAGTTGTGACTGTTAAATACTCCTTCACCAGTAAAACATGACTCGTCCGTAAATAAAATTTTAATGACCAAATCAGAATCTCTATTTTAATTCTCTAATAACAATGTATAAAATTAGATTCTTCTAGATGAAAATGTTTTCAATAAAGATGCGTTACATTGTATTTATTGTAAGCGTTTTAATCTGATACAGAAAATACAATAAGTATATCGTAATGTTCATGTATAATCTCCCATCATTTTCAACATGATTATTGGAAAATGAAAATAAAGATTCTGGTTTTGTCCATAAAATTTTATTTACAGACAAGTCACGTTTTACTCGTGAAGGAGTAGTTAACAGCCACAACTCTCACATTTGGAGTAACGAAAATCCACATGCATTTCACGTCCGTGAAAAATCAGCTGTGCAGTAAAAATCAATATCACCTGACTTGTAAAAATCAATAGCAGTTGACAGATCGGTACGCGTGTACGTGTAATTGCGGACCTGAGCGTGCCAGGCGAGCGTCCTACGCGACATCATTAGCATCTTTGATCGTTTATAACTTAAAAACTATTGTAGCCTTGATATTTTTGTATTAAGATTCTTTACTCTATTTTATCTCCAAAAGATACTATTAAAGTATTAAGCGGTAGTTATGAGACACCCTGTATAACATAATATTAAACTCTAAAGTATTAACTATCGCAATTAACGCATATTAATAATTCATAAACATTTAATGTTCTGATATTTTATTAATATCAATATTATTTACTTTTTACAAGATCACATAAATCTTGAAAAAGCATTTCACGTTGTCATACGCAACAAGCGCGCAACGTCGCTTTGATAAAAAGGAGACGGAACACGTATGTCCACTCGCTTCTACAAACTGAACGACGAAGCGCACACGTACGTGTGACGTCACGATTCTCGTTTGTGTGCGTGCTTCCTCTACCGCGGTGCTCGGGTGCTGGCCGGCTCGAGTTTGCATCACTGCATCTATGATATTTTAGTTTTTGTGACTTTGTTCAGTATTGATATAAAATTGATTTTTTATATTAAACAGCAGTTTCATTGTGTTGCGGTTTTTTATCAGCAAAATTGTCTGTCACAAAGCACATAAAAACTCAATATGCAATGCAATTAGAAAATTGATATTACAATTAAAATATCAAACATCGATAAAAATACCAGGCGGAATATGTCTTGTCATGCAAAGAGAGAGAAATCGAAGTCCGACCGAAATGACATGAAAGAATTGAAATATCTGGTACGCGCTATTGACAGTCTGTAAGTCTAATGTCGTCTATGAAACTTTGATGAATTGCAATGATCGAGATTTATTGCGCTTTTTCTAAAAAAATGCTTAGTGGCTACTTTCCACTGGCGGAACGATATTAATTGTTGCACTTTCAAGGTGTTGCATCCTTTATAGAAAATGTCCGAGCGACGCACCATCATCACCATCATGGACCTTAATCCTCCCTCCGAGAATTGAAGAAATTCCTTGCGAAATTCCACCTCAGAGACCGCCGTGTATTCCGCCGCCACGGTGTCCGATAACACCTGGACTGTGTTGCTCTCGCTTCTTGTCGCCGCCGACGCTGCTAACAACGTTATCGCAGCCTTCTCCGCCGCAAAATCTGTACTGTCATAATCGCAATCCTTACCGTGCTCTTTGAATAAAAATTTCAACAATTTGTAACGTAAAAGCAAAATGTGCTGAAATAGAAACAAAAATATTTAAATAAAAAAATCAAGACTCAATTGATTAATTGAATATTTTGACAATATAACATTTGATTATTTGAGTCCAATGCACGAAGATATAACGCGATGCGGAAGATAAAGGGAACAAACTCTTTGTGTCCAGGAATGAAAGAAAGAAATTTATTAAAAATCCATATAAAACATTATATGCTTTTTACTCGTTTGTTGACAAAAACCGCCGACGAATTCTAATCAAAATATCGAATTTCCTGAAAAGCGGCGCTACGCAGTTCGCGATAGCCGTTTTGATATGGTGTAATAACCACTGTTGTGTCTTGCAGTCACGCGATATGTTTCAAACAAAATCTGCTGCTGTTACGCAATATTGATATTGGACAGACACCATTGTAATATAGGCAGATAAATGATTTGCACTTTTCTGGGTCCCATAGCGTAAATTTTTTTAATATCGACATTAATGCGTCGGCGAATTTTGTCTATAAAAGATTACTTGCTTGGTCGATTATATTCGTTGATCCCGTCGGAAGATACATTCCTTACACACATTGCTTAACATGATTCTGACAACAGCGAGCTTAGTGGTTCTCACATTTTCGTCAATTACGATTTAGCAGGTAAGTTCTTTCGCGCCTGAATTATTTCAATCGCGATAAAAAAATCTATGCATTATATATAAATCTCAGTAGAGAAATAAAATTTGTATTAGAGCAGGTTCTTCCCTCATAAAGAATGCCGTTACGATTCCCTGTATATATCCTCGCTATATAATATTGATCGATTTGATACATTTGTACGTTCGAATATACATCTCGCGTCCCTCGCAGACTCCCATCACTTAGCAGAGCCGTTCGGGTGTCTGTAGAAATTTGTCGTTTTTACAATTAACTCTCTGCAAATGCCAAAGATTGACTCTTCTGTAATTATCGGCTGTAATTATTGTAATTATTGTAATTATCGTCGTTCTTTTACTATCAGCATATATTGTTAGAAACATTAATCTAGATTATTGAATATATATGACTTATTTATCTCCTTCATAGTAACGAACTTATTGTAATCCTTCAGATAGACCGTTAGTATAGCACAAATACAAATATACACAATGACGATAGTATAGCACAAATATGTGTATGCACCTGTGAGAAAAATTATACCCCGCGAAATATATAAGCGCCACATCTGAGAGCCGAGCGTGGCTTTGAATTGCGCGGAGTTTAATTTCTGCTACGTGTCGGATCGTCGCAGAATTTTATTGCAACGCAAAAAGTGTTGTGCAATTCAAAGCCATCGCGAATCATACGAATCCCACAGGAGCTTGTTCCGTCAGATGCAAAATTTATATATTTCCAAATATAATTTTCATCAGAGACATTTCATTCAGTGACACTAATTCCCGACTTACTTCGCTGTTTATACCTATTGAATATTGCAGTGTCTTTATAATAAATTACAATATTTTATCCTCGTAAAGCCACCCGGCAGATGACACATACATCAGAATCGCTTGATAAAACATACAATAACAATTATTCCACGCGTTTAACGGAGAAAGAGAAAGAGATAGAGTTAAAGATAGAGAGAGAGATAGAGATAGAAATAGAGATAGAGATAGAAATAGAGATAGAGATAGAGATAGAGATAAAGATAGAGAGAGAGAGAGAGAGAAAGAAAGAAACACAAAGCGACATTGCTGCTTTCGCGAAATCATTATTTACGTACGTAATGCGTTTTACAGCAGAATGTCGCTTTAATCCTCTTTGCTTTAATCATTGCATCTACGAAGAGTGGCGTACGAACTACATCGCGCTTCGCATAAAAGCTCCGCTTTGAGGTTCGATAAAGTGACCAGCCGATATCTTATTTCTCCGCAAAAACCCGACGATTTCCGCGACGTATGCGCCACGCCAAGCGTTCGTGAGAGCGAATTTTCCTATTCCAATTTGTGCCGTGTCCGTGAGCCTGTTCGATATTCATCCTTTGGTTACCGATTTGCGGCCTTTTATCAGATATGTTACTCGCTTATATCGCATGTTTCTCAACTATCCACGAGAGAGAGAGAGAGAGAGAGCCGCTCGCGAAAGATAGAGCACGCTTTCAGACCGTGGAGAGCGAAGAGACACTCTCGGCAGATCGATATCCGGTAAAATCATTCTCGCCGCGCAAAAGGAACGAAGAGCGTTAGAGAACGAGGAGGTTCTCGCAGCTCTTGGTCCGCTTCTTAAAGACGAGCAAATGCTTCAGAATTCGCCTGCGGTGCTTGCTACGACGGCGGCTCGTGGCCTGGCTGCGCTGCGGATTCAGCTTGATCTGCGCCAGAATACCGACCAGGAGTTCGTCCACGTGATGGGCCAGCCCCGACGACGTCTCGATGAATTTGCAGCCGAAGTTGTTCGCCAAACGGCGACCGACTGTCGAAACGAAAGACTCGAGTGGGCATGCAATCCAAGTTTTCACATATTCTTCCGTTCTACGCTTGTTGTCTTTTCTCGTTTTTAATTAAACCGAAGTACTACTTTTGCTGTCTTTTTATTTTACGTAAAAAAAAAGGTTTAGTTCAGTTAGAAAAAATTATATAAGTCTGAAATTAATTTATCTGTGGTGATTTCGCGACCCGCATCATTCTCGCTGTTTTGTCTAAATAATTCGACAGATATTGCGACCACGTTGGCGGATTCACACAAAATTCAAGTACTCACCGACCGACAGAACCTCCCGTCTTCTTTCGAGGTCCACTTTATTACCGACGAGGATGACGCCGTGAGTAGCCATGTAATCGCTTTTCCACAAATAGAGCAAAGTCTCCTCGGCCACTTTTAAGCTGCTTCTGTCTACCACCGAGTAGACCACGACGTACACGTCCGGATTGTAGGTTGAACAGAAGGTCTCGACCTCAAAAAAAATATAGAAAAATCCACGGTACACGTCGACACTTCCGCAAACAGCAAACAGTTCGGTAAGTAATTTATTTCTCGCCGAGCAGTAAATTTCGTTGCAAATCAAATAATGACACCACGAAATTTTGCGATATTGCAATAAATTGTCGAACACCATGTATACGAATCGCAATATTTCATACGCCATATATTAAATTGCAATGTAAAAGAATAATTTATTTTCCGTTTACGCACATTTTGTTCATTCACGGGTCATACACCATTTATCATCGCGCGCGAGGACGTTTTTTTTCACACGGTTCACGCTGTTATATATTGCTCAAAAAAATTGTGGCATGGAAAAATTGTGGGCAAACATTGGCCAACTTTGACTGACAAGATAACTCCGCGAAAAATCGTATAATTTTGTTTTTAAATTAAAGCCTGAAATCTCTACTTTAAGATACTATGTTTCGAGTTTAATGTACCCCATTATAACCCCTTAAATCTAAGGACATGTTTGTCATATTGAAAATTGCAAAGTTTGACGGAATGCACGGACTTGCTACAATTCTTTTTGGGGATGCCGTTTGCAGTGGCATAAAGCTCGAACCTTCCCTTTTAATTAAAAAAAAAGCAAGTTTCTGCGCTTTTTTTTCGCAAAGTTACAGCACTTTAAAGTAACCCAAACTTTGCAATTTTTAATATGACAAACATGTCCTCAGATTTAAAAGGTTACAGTAGTAAGAGCATTAAACTTAAAATCGAGCCACAGTATCTTAAAGTAGAGACTTCAGGCTTTAATTAAAAAAAAAAAATTATGATCCTACAATGATTTTTCGCGGAGCTATCGTCGTTTCCATGCCACAATTTTTTTGAACAATGTATTTCTTGTATCTACGTAGAGAAGTCGCTTTCCGATTCATCTTGATATAAGTCGTAAATCCGAACAAATAATTCACTTGTCTCGTCACTTCCGCGTTATTGATCCTCCGAGTCTATTCATCTTCCTTAACGGATAAAGAACATGTACGTTTCTTTTACAAGCGCGTTATATGACGTATATTATATCGCTGTACATCTCCTATGTAGCGCCAGCACTTAATCGACAATAAAACTCGATAAAGATAGTATCGTGTTATAACTCTATTTACGAGTCGTTACGTTAAAGCATCCGATAAATTTCTCTCGGTATCCGGCGTTACTAATTCAATGCAATATATCACGCAATTGGCACGGTTCTTCGGCACATGAGTGGAAAACGTCGCATTTTACTCACCGACATCTCCGCGGCGGGATGATCAATAATTTCCAGTTCCGTTTCCTGGCCGTCGAGCATCACGGAGACGCTCTTCTGCCCATATTCTTCGTCTGAAAATCGATCGGAGCTTCGTGGCACGTCCAATTATCAATCAAAATCCCGCGACACGCGGCACGCGACAACGCGTAAACACGTGCAATTAGCCGGCGGAGTGATTAATGCGTCGCGCCGAAGAAGGCAACAGTTAGCGACCAAAAGAAACAATGACGCCTCTTTACGGGGCGATCATATTTCATCCTCTTGTACAAGTTAGACTTAATCCGCCATTAATTTTCCAGGAAGGAAACAGATATTTATCCGAAAGGACAAATTTAGTTGCGCCTGAAACCGGCGATAAAATTCAAGCAGGGCGCCGTCATTAATCGTTCTTTCCCCGAGGAAGCATTATGACGCAGACAGTGGTGGTATCGTCTCGCGGCGCACCGTCCGAAAGATACATTACCCCATTCGTACACGAAATATCGATAAAGCTCTCGGTGGAATGCCTCGGAAAATCGATACAAGGTGGGGTCAGCTTTGAAAGCTCGCACGGGTCGCCCGCTCGACCGGTACTCGCTACGGGTTCATAAGCGTGTGCAGTTTCAATAAAATCAACGTTGAAAGCCAAGAGAGTCGACCTCACTATAGCGGAAACACGATGGAAAATATGGTACGCGTAATACTCCCGGAGGACAAAGAAGAAGTGGCGAAGGCGGAGGAGCGGCATTTTCTTTTTGGGTCACGATATCGCTGCTTTCGCTCAAGAATTGTACACTCGTACGCTATCAAGCGGACCGTAGCTTATGACGTCCCGTCGCCGCGACGTTTATCCAAAAGATTTGACTGAAAACCCGCTCTTTCTCTCTTTCTTGTTTGCCGCGCGCGGAGCGCAAAAGGAATTTCGTATTCCCCGCTTGAGCATAGCGAGAGGGATAAGAGCTTACCGTCGTATCGAGCTTATCGAAACGAGTTCCGAGCTGCGCAAGGAGCATACATCGCAAGAATCGAGGGAGATTTTCATTTTGCGAACAGCTTATCGAACGGATGAGCGAATTTTCTCCGCCGCGGGGAGAAACAAAAGCTTAGCGCCGATGTATCGCAGACAATGCATTACAAGCGAAATTGGTTCCAAACGAGCTGCTCGCGCAAATTAATTGGCCGAACTTTGCATTCGCCGTTATTGTTGCGACGGGAGCGATCACGCACTGCGCGTTGCGACACTTCCTCCCTTGGCGCGGTTGCATTCTCCAAATTCATCGAATCGCACGTCGCGCCGATTGTCAATCCCGATCGGTTATTTTGCATACGAGAGAGCGGGAGTATCTCGTGAGGAAATATCTCGCCGCACGGCGGGGAAATGTGGAGCCGGAGACGCGCGCGGAAGCGGCAAATAGAAAAGGTTAATGAGATGTAAGATGCCATCAGCGTACAAAATTAACTTTAACGAAGCGGTGCTGCGAAACAAAAGGTATTAGCGCTGTAATAATTTTAATACCAACGGCAGAATAATTAAAAGATGTAATCAAAGCACTTTAAGGGAAATACGCTTTGCGCAAATATACACCAAATCATCCCCAATCGATGCAAATTATTATTGATTCGCAACAAATGCAAAGGTCCTCCATCAATATTATATTATCAATAGGTCAATGGGTTTCCTATAATTAAATGCAAAACAACTGCGTACGATGCGCGTATCTGATGCATAGCTGTTCGCGAGCAGCAGTGCGAACCTTCTAGAAGCATCAAGGCCTTGTCGAAGGACATAGTCAGCCGGTAATTGTTGATGCCGATGATCAAAACATTGGCCTACGTGACAAACAGCATTGTTGTAC